TTGGCCTTTGAGGTCACCAAAGGTCGGGTGAGATTAACGAGGTGAGGGGCGCAGGAACATTGCCAGCGAAGCGGCGAGTGTCGCCGCTGGAATGTACCCGGTTTTTTTTTTATCAAAGAGTGTGGCCGGTTATGATGACAATTACAACGTGGCGTCCAAGAAAACATGTTTAATTGTTTTGGGTCTAACTCGTAATAATTAATGTTATCCTATTGACAGGCTTATCGGATATATATATATATATATATATATATTTAATTTTTATTAAAAACTCTGAAGATGGAGAATTGTAAGTAATATATTTAAGGGGGGCATTTCTACCTCAAAAATTATTATGACGGAAATTAATTATCTGTTAAATATATTTTTTAAAAATTTATCAATTTAATATAATTTTACAGAAAGACGTAATTAATATTACATCTTTCGTTGACGTGGCGCTAATTCATCTTTCAGAGATGGGTGTTAAATTCATAATTTTTTTTAAAATAATATATGACAGATAATTAATTTCTACCAGAGTACTTTTTGTTTAAAAATGTCACGGAATATTAAGAAAGTAATTGTATTTGTTTGTTGGAAAAAGATGGAATTTAATTAACCAATCATTTTCATTTTCCGTCTTCTAAAAAATTAAGTCATATGATCATAAAGAAAATCATGTGTCTTTCATACTTATCATTTTTTTAAATAATTATTTTTTTAATAAAATTTTTATTAAATCCTGAATTTTTTTTTTGAAAAATCAATGATAAGAATAAAATTTTATTTGTGGCTGACTTGGCGCAACGCTTTGCCTCTTGTTATATGTGGGGACATATTTTCATAACCGTATTTTGAGTTCAATGTCAGTCTTGTCTAAACATCACCAGTGTATAATATGTTTTTTTTTTCATCATTGATTTTTTTAAAAAAAAAATATTTTTTACCATTATATTTTTAATTTGTTTTATTTTGATAATGGAGTCATTAATTTATATTATTTTACTAACATCGCACATTAATAAAAATTTAATAAGTTCATGCTAGTGAATCTTTAAATGTGTGTCGTCCCCTTAAACAACGTATCCTCTTAAACTATCAGTAGTTTATAAGAATTCACTAATCCATTTAATCAGCGTATCATAAACATATTAAAATAGATTTATAAGAATTTTATACTCGATAGATATATTATCTCAACGTATCTAAGAATAAATTTGAAGCTCATTAAATTTAAAAATGTATTCAACACAAAAAGATTAATTAAATAATAATAAAAGATTAATTAAATAATAACAATCAAGAGAAGATACAAAGTTTATTGACATTATTCATTATTATTATTATTGAATAAAAAAATTATTTATTATCTTATTTCCAGAATTTAATGAAAAGTTTTATTAAAAAAAGAAAAAAATATTTGAAGAAAATGATAGATGTGAAAGACACGTGATTTTATTTAGGTCATATGACTTAATTTTTCATAAGATAGAAAATGAAAATGATTAGATAAGTAAATTTTATCTTTTTTTAAAGAAACAAAACACAGTTACTTCCTCAATATTTTGTGACGCTTTTATACAAAAATAAAAAATTAATTACGTTTCAGACACAATTTAATTTTTTTTTTACAAATCTAACACTCATCCTAAAAAACTAGAATCATAATTTACGCTTACCTATGTGACGTCACATCAAGTAAGGCATAATCATTTTTTTTTATGTAAAGGGTGCTAAATCAGTTAAATTTTCTGAAAAGGTGTCTAACAGGTAATTAATTTATGTCAATGTGTTTTAAGTAAAACACCATAATATAATAGGCTTTTAACTTTTTTTTAAAATAATGTTACCATTAGATTTATTTTATATTAATTGTGATCCTTAAATTGAAGACGAATATTGGTTATTATAATGCTTATATGATGATTTACATTATTGATGTAATTATGATTCTAATATGATATTTCTTATAAATGATAATGTTGTTGAAGACAATTATTATTTATTATTTCAAATTATTTAATACGTATACAGTATTTTAAATTTATTTAAATTAATGCTTTATTCTTTGAAACATTGACACGTCAAGCAAGAACATCTGTGACAAAATAACTAACTTACATTAATATAAAAATTAATAATATTTTTATCATAAATAATATTAATATATATTGTAATATTTTAAAAAAATATTTATTATATTTGATATTTATAATGAATAATTTCAAAACAATTATCAAACATCGTAGAATTAATTATACATATTATCTGAAAATAAGAACATTATTTATGAAAACTATTTTTCAAATAACATAATTTTTATGAAAGTTATTTTTCGAAATCTGGTTTCAACAAACGAACCTTAATTTACAATTGTAATATACGTGGTGTATTTATATGATTATAGTCGGACTTAATCATTACACATGTAAATAACATTATAAATAATTAATATATTCATTAACTATGACTATAATTATTAATAAAGTACAGATAATAAACAAATAAACTTAACCGATATAATAAAAAATAAAAGATATAGTTCTTATAACCTAAAACTAAAACTAAACATACAAATGAACAAATTAATACTTTAATATAACACTTGTATATAATTAATCATATCAACCTTTGTCATGCAGAAGCATACATCGAATACCCTGAATGAGTCATCAGATAAAACTGGCTGCAGATAAGTATGGAGGGCATCAGAGAAAGGAATCCATCCAAGTACATGGCCATTGACAGCTGTATATTTTGACCAAATTACATCATTTTGATCGAAAATAAAATCCATATATATAGGAATGAACATAAAATTTTAGATAAAAAGTATGAATTATTAAGAAATTATATTTTACCAAAAAAAATTATATTAAAGATTTAGAAAATATGAATTTATATTTCTAATAAAAATTAAAAAGTATTTAATATTTAAAATATAAATTCAGAGGTCTATTCAGGGGCGGACGTAAAATTTTATGTTAGATGATATGAACTAATAAAATTTTAGAGGATGATGAACTTATAAAATTTAGAGGGCAAAAATAAATTATCAATAAAAATACACAATTTTTTTAAATATAATACAATTTTAATTTTTTAGTGAAGGTGATTATCCTCACCTGCCCTTCCTTCGATCTTTCCCTGAATATGTTTATCTTTCCGACACTCCTTCAATTCATCCTTAAATATACCAATTAGTACCAAATGAATTGATAAGATATAATATAGTTTTTTTAACATGTTATATATAAATTGAAAGAATAAAATTATTAAACATTATTATAAATATTAAACATGAACAGTAAAATGATAACAAATAAAAGTACAAATAAAAATATTTATATATAAATTCTAATCACAACATACATAAATGAAAAATGGATTTTGGAATACAATTTCCCAGTATAAGCCCATTTTCTACTAAAAGTTTTCAAGAAAATGACCCATTGTGTGTAGACCAAATCAGATGTGAGTCCATGAACCTTTTGGTTCTTAGTTTACCCAGAGCAGAAGCTGTCAGTCAGACAGAAAATGTAGGAAAAAAAATATAAACTAAAATTTTGGGATAAAATTTTGATACATTAATAACGTGTACAATGATAAAATCAAAAAATTATTTTAATTATAAAATTAAATTTTAAATTTAGAGAAGTACGAGATATATTTAATCACATTTTTAATTTAAATAGGATATATTTTAACATAATTAAATTGAAACCAATAATTTTTAAAGCTAAAAGATAATTTTACAATTATTTTAACTTTAAAACCTAAGAAACTAAAGATGAAATTTTACCATTTAGGTGTGGGATGGAAAGTCCCATATGTCATTGCCCTTGTCTTCGACCTTAAACTTGCGTTATATAAATTTTAACATTTCATGTATTTGTTATTCTTAATTATTTAAATTTCAAATCATATAATTAAATATAATTTAAAAAAAAATTATTATAGTTTTAAAATGTCACAAAGATGATACAAGTCATGTTCATGTATTTCATTCCCATCCACCTAACAATATTATATGTCAGTGTCCCATCCCACTGTCATATCATCGTGATCCTTATCACTCGGAAGCAAATATAATGCTTCCAATAATTCTGGCAAAATCATTTGAATATTTTGGTGATAAAATATATTTGAATAAGATGTATAAAAATATATGTTGTTATCTAAAATAGTTATTTCAATAATTTCAGAATTTCGTTTGAATTATACCTGACGAATGTGTGTTGATAGTTTGGTTGGAAAGTGTGTTATGCGTTGATGGTTTGGTTGGAAAGTGTGTTATGCGTTGATAGTTTGGTTGGAAAGTGTGTTATTGGATAACAACTTCATATTACATGTATCATGTTTTTCTGTGTCATCTGTCAAGATTCTTGTATTCAGACTACATTGTTACCAAAGCAGCATGAGGAAGTCGTCATACAATCAACATATTTTTAAAAAATTGTCGTATAATTTTGACAAAATTATCGAATTATTATAATAATCACCCTAAATTATAAAATAATTTTTAGTGCATCTTGTACAATAAATTTTATCAATAATTATTGATAATAATAATTAATTTTTGTGTCACGAACATGTACAAACATGATATGTGAATTTGAAGAATTCTTATATAAAAAATGGCTGTCCCTTATTCCCATATGTATGGGGTAAGGGGGAGGTAAGATAGTAGGCTACCCCCAACACTAGGTTGAGAGCAGCTTCCGTAAGAGACCTCCGAATTATGAAATGCCCTCCGTGGGACTCGATCCCACGACCTCAAGGTTAAAAACCTTGTGCTCTACCAACTGAGCTGGATGGTCATTTCTGAAGAATTCTTATATAATTTTATATAATTGAGTTTTTTAAAATCAAATTCAAATCGAGTTGGATAAGATTCAAATTTAAGATAAAAAAATTATAATATAACCTATTAAAGATTATCATTTATATATTTAAAGATAATTATAATAATATCTCATTTTTTTTATATTTTTGAATTAGGTTATTATTTTATAGAATAAAACCAATTTTTTTTAATTTTATTAAATGTTGAAATCAAGAGAACAAACGGAAATGCAGACCAAACTACGAAACAAAGAGCAGACTAAACATCTCTCGTACAACAGAGATTTTATTGTTGACAGTAGGTGGATCGTTGTGGAGATTTTTCTCTAAGGATAAGCTTCAACGACGGATTGAACTGCGCGTATGGATTTTACGTTGAATCGAGTAAATCCCGACTCTCGGAGAACATAGCTCCATTCTTTTAAAGTCCTCTCTTTCCCTTTATCAGTATGAGCCATCATCACCATATCTAGCATCAACCTTACGAATCCGAGCTCGTCGCTTTTATTATCTTCTTCAACCACTGCCTCAACAATTATAACTTTACCTTTGGATTTTGGGATCGCTTCTCGACTTTTCTTTAGGATCTTAATACATTCCTCGTCATTCCAATCATGCAAAACCCACTGCAATCACAAAATAACGATTGGTGTTGATGAGAATAGAAGATTACGTCGAACGTGAGTGGTTCATCCTTTTTAATTTAGGTGAAGAATCACAATCGGTAAAATATCAATGTTATCTGATAATATATGAATTTTTTATATGTGATGATGTCAGACTTAAAATTGTGATTATTATTCATAAATTGATATGATTAATAAGTACAACATTAATTAATCATATGACTTGTAAGGCAATGCATTGTTGAAATGAAGGGAAAGAAGTGACTAAGACTAACCATGAAGAAAGCAGCGTCGGCATTTGGGATAGACATGAACATGTCGCCTCCTACGTTTTCGATGCCGTTGAGTTTCGGTGCAACGGCAACGACATGAGAGAGATCAAAGTTGATGCCTCGAATCCATGGGAATGCCTTGACTAAAAGACTCAAAGCAGTCCCGTTACCTCCTCCGACATCAACCAAACTTTCGACCCCATCGAACACTTCGGGACATCCTTCAATTATCGCCGGCACTGTCACTCTGGCACTACAAGCCATCGCTTCATTAATCAAATCGCTATGACCGGAGTTCGCCTCGGTGTAGCTCCATATATCGTCCCCGTTCGCGGCTTCGAATGGCGAAATATCGCCGCTCTCGAGGACACGAGTGCTGAGACTATGCCATGGAGCTAACATAGTAGGGCTGGACTCTAACAGTATTAAGGGCACCATATTTTTTTCTCCATGTTTTATCAAACGACGAGACAATGGCGTCAATGAGAACCCCATGGAGTCTTGGCCAATGGGTTCTTCTTTGAATACTTGGTAATGGACGAGGAACCGCATAATGCGGTGGAGACGCGACAGTTCGCAGCGGAGGGTGGTGGTTAGCTCGGACAGTGGCATGGGACTTCCATGGTTTTCAATAACATCGGCAATCCCGAGCTCAATGGCACATTTAACGACGGCCATTTTAACATATCCGAAGACATAATTCCAAATGTCTACTTCAGCTCCAGCTTCCATGTCTCCCATCTCAATCTTTTTCTCTCTCTGAAAACTTGGTAACTCTACACTCAAATCTTGAAGATTGAAGCTCGACTTTTATAGGAACAATTATTTGTTTACAATATTCAAATTAAAATTAGTCGAATACTGGTACCAACAACAATTATAAACTATGTAGTGAGACTACTATGACCATTTTATTCGAATCTGGCTAGTTTTGATTTGATCTATTGACCGACTAATATAAATCGAGTACTGCAAAGGCGAGAGCGACCCTCCCAACTCAATTTGCTCCATTCGCAAACGCCAGAGTTCAAACTCCTGGCCTTGTTTAAAGAATATAATGCCTCATCCCACTAGACCAACTGATTGTTAGTAATATAGTACTTATTTTACCTAATAAAAAAAATTATTTATATATATATATAGGGATATGATCCTGTTACACAATGTAAAACTCTTTTAGTTTTACACAGATTTGAAACCGTTGGATGAGTAAAAATAAACGGTTGAGATTAACAGTAGGAAATGAGAAGATATTCACTAGGGAAAAAATAAGGAGTCAATCTCATCCATCTATTTTCACTCGTCTAACGGTCCTAAATTTGTGTAAAGCTAAAGAGTTTTACACTGTGTAAGTGGATCTAGCCAATATATATATATATATATATATATATATATATATATATATATATATATATATATATTTGAGGTACATGTTTTGACTTAAAAAATCGAGTCGGATTTTAGATCGGGTGGGACCTCCGTAAACTCGTGTTGTGTTGGGTGCGAGTGGAAGGGTGTAATTTTCATGTCGGGTTTTGACTGGCCAAAAAACAAACCCTACTCGACCTGAACCATGTCCATCCCTAACTGATACACCTCCCCTCGATTTGACGTCATCCTATTAGAGATGAAAATGAGTTTGATTTTTAGTTGACCTGACTCGAAATCTGACTCGAATTTTGAGGTAAAAAGTAGCATCTAATTGGACTCAGTAAAAATATAATTTTTTTATTCAATCTTTAAAAAAATATAAAGAAATATATTGCAATTACTCCTACATTTATCCATAAATTTCTTATATCATATCGTAAATTTTTTATACTAAATCTAAATCAGACTTAACCCTGCCATTTTACAAAACTTGATCCACCCGATCTAAACTCAATTTCTTAAAAATTGATTTTATCAAATCACATCAAATCAAAATCTATTAAATTCTAATTAAATTACCATTTCTACATCTTACAAATTATACCAATAATAATATTAATTAAACTAAATTCAATCGGTAAATATATTTTTAAATTTAATTACTTCAAATCATTATTTAAACAATTCAAATGAAATCATTATGGACCGACTTGAATATTTGCTTTAATACCTCAATCATTATTTGAAGGACGGTTACCTAATGCATTGTAGTGTAATACATATTATAGATTATCAAGTCAGATTGTCATCACTATCTGCTCAATTCCCACTACCAAATAAATAAGTTTTGGGACATGAAAAAGTGGATCATAAAGATAATAATGATGAATAAGCCAAAGTGATCATAAAGATAATAATATAAAAGTTGCGTAAAACGTTTTAAATGTAAAAATTATGGGTAGAAGTTATCAATTTTATTATGTTCGTAATAAATAATAAGAGGATTATACGATAATATATTAAATCTTAAAATATTAATTATATATGTAGTTATTTAAACATGAGGACATCGAAATTTTATATGTCGATCGTAAGTTACAAGTGAACATCCACATCCATCTTAAATTCTCATTTGTTTCTCTTAACTTATTTCGATTAAAACTCAAAACTTTCGGTGCATAATAGTCTTATTTTGTTGTAAATTAGATTTTTAAGATTGTCAATTGATTTTGGTTGAAAATATAAATGGGAAAATTGTTCATTTATTCCCTATACTTTAAGATATTTACAAGATTAATTCTTAAGCTTCAACTATAAATACCCTAACTCATTTATCTTCAAAATCATCCCATATCATTCTAGCTTTCTCCAAATAATAGAGAATTTAGAGAGTTTTCTTTAGAGTTGTTTTCTCTTTTTTATCAAGAGAGAATTGTTATTGTTTTCTCCTTGTTAGATCGAGAGAAGTTGTAATTTCTATTTTCTCATAGTCAAATTCTTCTATCTTTGCCCGTGGTTTTTATCCTATATTATTTAGGGGTTTTCTACGTAAAATTTGTGTCTTTTTTATTTTTTTTTTTATTTTCTCAAATTATCAGTTGCGATTTTTCTCTATCCGATAGTCGTATTCCGCAACAACTGGTATTAGAGCCAGATTTGAGTGTGTAATATTTACTTATTGTCTTTGTGGTTGACACCAAAAGGTGGATCCTCCAACATAAGAAAGTAAGAAGATATTACCCATTCTTTGAAGGTTCCAGAAAACTATTCACGATAGTGAAATAGTGGGAGCTATCTGTAATAGAAGCTATGACAACGAAATTTGGTATTGAAAAGTTCAATGAGAGAAATTTCTCATTGTGGAAATTGAAGGTGAAGGCCATCCTGAGGAAAGACGATTGTCTAGCGGCTATCAGTGAAATGTCAGTAGATTTCACAGATGATAGCAAATGGAATGAGATAGATGAGAATGCTATGGCAAACCTCCATCTAGCATTAGCAGATAAAGTATTGTCAAGCATTGAGGAGAAAAAGACAACTAAGGATATATGAGATCATCTCACCAAACTGTATGAGGCCACATCGTTGCACAATAAAATTTTCCTTAATAGGAAATTGTACACTCTCTCCGGATGCCAGAATCTACTTCAGTGACGAAGCACTTAAACACATTGAACACTTTATTTTCTCAGCTTACATCCTTAAGCTGTACAATAGGAGAACAAGAACGTGCTGAACTTCTACTTCAAAGTTTACCTGATTCGTATGATCAACTCATCATCAACTTGACAAACAATAATATCACCATTCTAGTCTTTGATGACGTTGCAACTGCTGTTCTACAATAAGAAAATCGGCACAAGAGCAAGGAAGACAGATAAGTAAATCTGCAACAAGAAGAAACATTGACAATAATGAGAGGAAGATCAACAGAACGTGGCCAAAGCAGCAATCACAAACATGGTAGATCAAAGTCGAGAAGCAAAAAGAATTTAAAGTGCTACAACTGTGGAAAGAAGGGTCACTTGAAGAAGGATTGTTGGAGTCTAGGTAAAAACTCCAATCCACAAGGCAATACCGCAAACACTTCAGATGATGGAGATGCTCTATATTGTGAAGCGTTAACCACCGTAGAAGGTAGAAAAAGATTTGCAAATATATGGCTCATTGATTCGGGAGCAACATATCACATGACCTCAAGAAGAAGAGAATGGTTCCATCATTATGAACCTGTCTCAAGAGGATCTGTGTATAATTGCAATGATCATACCTTAGAGATCGTTGGCGTTGAAATCATCAAATTAAAGATGTATGATGGAACAATTAAAGTTGTTTGAGATGTGCGGCATGTGAAATGCAAGCAAGATTGAAACACGGAAAATAATCATGAAGGTGTTCCGTGGAGCGCTTGTGGTGATGAAAGGCGAAAAGATAGTAAAAAACTTGTACATGTTGAAGGGAGAAACTTTGCTAGAAGCAGAAGCTTCTGTTGCCTCATGTAGTTCAGATTCTGCAATGTTATGTCATCAGAAACTTGGATACATGTCAGAACAAGGAATGAAAGTCCTTGTGGAGCAAAAACTACTTCCAGGCTTAACAAATGTATCACTTACTTTGTGTGAGCATTGTATAACAAGTAAGAAACACCGGTTAAAATTCAACACGTCGAATTCTAGAGGCAAAAATGTTCTAGAATTGGTTCATTCTGATGTATGGCAAGCACCAGTTACATCCCTAGGCGGAGCAAAATACTTTGTCTCATTTATTGATGACTACTCTAGGAGATGTTGGGTGTACCCTATTAAGAAGAAGTCAGATGTGTTTTCAACTTTCAAAAAACTTCAAAGCGCGGGTGGAACTTGATTCTAGAAATAAGATCAAGTATTTTTGAACAGATAATGGAGGAGAATACACAAGTGAAGAATTTGATGACTTTTGCAGGAAAGAATGCATCAAAAGATAGTTCACAGTAACGAACACTCCTCAACAAAATGGAGTGATAGAGCAGATGAACAAAACCTTGTTAGAAAGAACAAGAGCAATGTTGAGAGCTGCAGGCCTAGAAAAATCATTTTTGGCAGAAGCAGTCAATACCGCCTGTTATTTGGTGAATCGAGCTCCATTAACTACAATAGAGTTGAAGACACCAATGGAGATGTGGACTGGTAAACCAATTGATTATTCAAACCTCCATATATTTGGAAGTATTGTGTACGTGATGTGCAACTCCCAAGAAATTTCAAAGTTGGATCCAAAATCCAGGAAATGCAAATTCTTGGGGTATGCTGATGGTGTAAAGGGGTATCGCTTGTGGGATCCCACTGCCCGCAAAGTGATCATCAGCAAAGATGTTATCTTTGTAGAAGCTAAACTATAAAGAAAAGAAGAAGATGATAGCACTGAAAAGTCAGAGACTACACAGATATATGTGGAAAATACGTTTGAACAAGGAGATTCTTCTGAAGCAGAACCAACACATGATGAACAAGAACCAGAGAGTTCTAAAGTTCCAACAACTCGTCAATCAAATCATGTGAAAAGACGTCCCAATTGGCACTCAGATTATGTTATAGAAGGAAATATTGCATATTGCCTTTTAACAGAGGACGGTGAGCCATCAACATTCCAGGAGGTAATAAACAGCTCAGATACTTCACTGTGGATGATGGCGATGCAAGAAGAAATTGAAGCCTTTCATAAAAATAATACATGCGACCTTGTGCCACAACAACAAGGAAGGAAGCCAATTGGTAACAAATGTATATTCAAAATCAAGAGAAATGGCAATGATCAAGTTGAGAGGTATCGTGCAAGACTGGTGATCAAAGGATATGCTAAAAAAGAAGGTATTGATTTCAATGAAATCTTTTCTCCTGTGGTTTGACTAACAACAGTTCGAGTAGTTTTGGCAATATGTACTACAT